AAAAAGTTTGGTTTGTTTTTTCTAGATCAGATTAGCAATAACTACTGACGCATTACAGCATTATTCAAGTTCAGAAAATTTTCAGCAGCATTTTTCAGCCAAGTTATTTTAGTAAGAATGCAGTAATTATGACTCAAACTTTCAAAGAGTAACAGCTATACACAACTGGTTAAGTTCTTGAAATATCAACTTATATAAAGCAAAGTTGGGGACTGAGTAAAGCCAAATATATCGTCTCAAAGCATCAGCAGCTGTGAGCATGCATGCCAGGGAAGAGAAAGGGAGAAGGAGAGGAGGATGAAGCAACATTGAAATACATCTGTTGTGGGGTTGTTATTTGAAAACTAAGGCTTCGTTTTTGATGATTTTCTTATTGCTCTTAATTAAATCAACTTTTTAATAAAAAAAAAATTAATTTTGTATTAAAAAGTTGTTTTAAGAAGCAATAAAAAACATCCCAAAAGAAGCCTAAATGGATTGCAATGGGCTGTAAAATAAGTTTTTTTAGGATTTAGGCAAGGGCGGAACTGTGTACTGCTGAGGAGGTGCAATTGCCCCACCTAAAAAAATAAAAACTCTTAGTATAGCAAAAATTATTTGTAATATGCCCCATCTGAATTTTATTTTTTGCTCACTGCCGGCCTTTTTTTCACGCAATTTGCCCCTCCAAAAATCGGAAAGCCTCTTGGCCTCCCACTATTTTCATCCAATTATGTTGAACTTTTCTAGCACTAACAAACAAGTCTGTGAAAGCGATTATATGCAAAATAAATTATTTTTGCATCCTTATATATTTTTTTTATTTTGTATAAGTTTGCCACTTGTCCCCCGTGAGAACTAAGGCTGGTTCCGCCCCTGAATTAGGAAACAAACAATAATGTCCAAATCTCTTCACATATTAGTACTTCTATCCAAAATCGCATATTGAAGTACCTCCTCAATCTATTTATTATTTGATCTTCTCCTAAAGATTTATGAGGCTCCAACATCAACTAATCAATTCCAAGGCTAAGTGTTGAAGTTGACTCAATACATTTCTTGTAATGTTGCAATACACATTACATGATATCTGGAGAAGCATTATACATGATTTAAAAACCTTAGTTGATAGGAAAACTGCATCTAATTTGTAAGTATCAACCTAGGAGCAAGTATGATGAACTACTAAATAATTGCAATGAGATCAAGCACTTTAAAATGAAGAACATCAAAATTTTCGCAACTACACGAAGGAATGATGATTCTATTATATTCCTAAAATACTCTCAATTTTAAATTTAACAATTATTTTTAACCTCGATCATTATTGATTGAAGAACTATTTCATTCATATTTAAGAAGTTAGGGACTAAATCAAACCTTTTATATAGCCATGAGATTAAAATGACCTTTCATAAATAGTTGAGAGCTCATTTTGGTCTCTTTCTCTTTTTATATACAGAGTTCATTTTGATCTCTTATATATATTTAGAGAGATTTGAGTGGTTGGTCGCTTGGAGATGACCTTCCAGTGTGGTCCAAATGTCGGAGCATATTTCAAGGTTGAGGACGTATGGAAGAATGCTAGCGAAGAGGGTGGAGTAAATTGCAGCTGCAAGGTTTTGATCGATCAATGTCCACCGGTTGTAAGCATTGTTCGGCTGTGAAGTGTTGTCGGGCAGAATGACATGGCTAGGTGTTGTTGAGGTTTTGTCCAGGAAACTAGCATAGCTATTGGCTTGGAACAACTTCAATATTTGAGATTTTCATGTTGGATAGTTGCCGTTTGATAGTTGTATGGGCACAATGATTTTGATGTTGGAGATGAGGAACTTTAAGGAAGAGGGATTAGAGGTATTTTCCGAGAAGTCGTATGTATCTACTTGGCCTGTGTGAAATCAGGGAGATTGGGCCATTTGAAAAGGTCAGGTACGTCTATGAGCCGATGTGCTATGATACTATAACAATTGATTTCAACTTTGCAAAAACTGCAGCCACATCAATCAATAGAAAGGAAAGAAGCAGAAAAAAGAAAGTTTGGTTCAATTTGTAATTATATAAGGATATTAATTTTTTTATTTTCTTTTCTTTTTTAAGGATTTTTTTTAAGCTATGAAGGTGGTGGATGACAGTGATCGTCGATGTCAATTGCGAGGTAGATCTTTGAAGTTCTTTAAATCTCTAAGCTCTTTTCAAATACTCTTTATGTTGAGAGTATATATTTATTTATAATATTTTGATAGTGACATTTTGATAAATTTGCCCAAAGATTCATAGAGCTCAAGCAAATGTCTCATGTTAAATCTTTTTATTATAAATAATTTATTTAGTTGAGTGTATTAATGATCTCCTAATCAAGTGCTTACGATCTTTAGATTTGTCTCATCAAGCCACTCAATTTAATTATAAGCGTGAAAGTTGATTTGGACATGGTTTGATCATTCAGTCATTATCTAAAAATTTTCAATTATACTTCAAGTATTTGATTTAAACTCATTTGAACTTGGATTTGATCATCTTTAGTGTCATTGGATTCGTCTTGAAAATAAGCAAAGTATGACTGGAGTTTGCAATATTATGTATTTTATTCTATAGTTTTCAATATAAATAGTGCATTAAGATTGGTGTTGATTGAGTAAAATTTTTGAGACATAATTTGCCCCCATACTTTTGCACATTAAACTTTTTGTGCAATTGCACCAGTATAATTAAACACAATGTGTAGAGTTGTTATTATTAGGAAACGATGAACCAAATGCAAAGAGGTATAGTAAAATATCATTACAACCAAAATTTTAATAGGGAACAATGAACTCCGCCAGGGGGCCGCAGGGCGAAATCTCTACACTTTTATTTATAAGTTTGCATCCCTTGAAAATTAAGGCCGATTCCGCCCCTACTTCACGCCATTCATTTTATCTACCACTCTTTTCTTAACCAACCAAAGCATTTCTTTCATTAAATCAAGACATTTCTCAAGCAATCAACATAATCCATTTACTCATTTGATCTATCTATTTTTCATGGCCAGAATTATAAATCAAATGCGAAGAAATCATTATCAGTCGGACATTTTTCCTCCTTAAACATGTGTGGTGTCTCCGGTCAGGCTATTTTGTGCAGTACGGCAAGCAACACAAGTAGCATTCCATGTTGACTTGCTGAGCATATAATGGTCACGCGTCATGACTCCTAATCAAAAGGTGTTGGTACGATATTATGATTTCAATTGATTTGTTCGTGGTGGAATGGAGCCTTTTTGCATAGAAATTCTGTACGCAGAGCGTGCTAGCTAGATAAATTATTCGGAGCAGATATCGGACGTCGTCAGGAGGTCAATCAGAACGATTCACGTCATTATTTTGCTCGGTACCGGAGTTGGATACTGATAGCTAGGCACCAGGTGACGTATCATGTCTGATTGGCCTCCGGACCGTCCGGTGTCCGCACAGAATAATTTCTCTTGGACCTGTGGTAGGTAGGTCTCTTGTTTTTCCTGCAAATCTACGTTTTTTTATATAATTTAAAATAAAAATTTGTCAATATATTTACATGTTATAACATTTATTTTAAAATTAAAATCATATGAAAACTTTATATTACACTGAAGAGGCCAAGACTCCTGAAGGTGAAGGGGCTCTTTAGCGAAAGAACATAGTAGAAGTTGATCTTTAGGTGAATAATGAGAAGTCTCTATCAAATTGAAATTATTAAAATATAGAAGATGGTGGTGAAATGAGAGAGGATGGCGATGTCGAGATAATGAAAACCACCCCTAATCATTACTAGCTCCCACTAATCTAGTTACAAAAAATTGGCGCAAGTGAACTTTGGCATTATTGAAAATACACACATATTTATCTCGTTATTTAGTTAAATAATAACAAATATTATGTGATGACATTGATAGATTGATAAGTAATTATTTAAAATTTAGCGATGATAATTCACTAAGCTAATTAAGAATTTCACTACTTGGAGGAGTACGTAGGTGCCAAAGAGGAGAGTGTTTTGTGGCATTTGATTGTGTTGATCAATCGGATTGTTCTATTGTCTGGTACCTTAAGTTTTTCATGCTCATTAGGGGGGAGTACAGTACATTGCTTGTATTCGGTTGCTTTGTACCTGATTTTTTTTTCCCCGTATAATGCCTCTTCGCTATGTATCTGAGCGCCCAGGCGCTATGCACGCTAGCGCCCCGGCACTTACCTTTTCTATCACCAAAAGCTATAATGTCAATTAGCCATCGATGTATAATGCCCCAATCTTCTAGAACATTTATTTCTTTTCTTATTATAAGAACGAACAAGTCAACTTTTCATCATCTTTTGATTCTTAATATTCCCTATTAATCATCATTAAAGACAATTGAGCAATGCACATCTGCTTACATATGTCTTTTCAATCACCTAGTCACCCCTATCATTAGGAAGATGACCAAGTAGATAGTCAAATATCATCCAAATTTCAACATCCTTTACCAATTGTATCGTTAGCCACTGTCACCCAATACCTACCTTTGTGATCGCTAGTTTTCATTCCACAATGCTGGAAATGATTAAGCTTCTTGTTTATCATCATCTAAATTTCAACATTCCATATAATCTACATCAGATGCCTACAATTATCCAACATTTTATATCCATCAAACAATGATGTTCGATACCCATCTTCATGAAGCACGATCAAGAAGAATGTCTAAGTTGATCACCTACCATTGCTTCCTGATGTTTATTGTCGATCTTAGTCTTACGACTACAAATTACATATATTCAATTTTCACCAGATATATACTGATGCTTGACATCCACTAACATCTATCATCCTTATAGATAGAGTTCTTGATAGAGTGGTATTGGGAGAAAGAACGGTGAAGAACCGAGAGAGAGAAAGTGAGGAAATGAAAACCTTGTTTATTAATGTGAACAATGCCGTATATATAGAACTACAGGGAAAAGTAAATACAAGAAAGTACACATATGACCGTTACACTAGTAGGTTCCTTAACAACCCCCCTCAAATTAACCATTCGGGGAACGAATGGTTAGTTTGGATCTTAGAAAAGTAAAGCAACTGCTAGGAAGAGATTTGGTCATAATGTCTGCAATTTGATCGGTCGAGCTAATGTGAGCTATGTCGATGTTGCCATGCTTGATATGATCCCGAATGAAGTGATGGTCTATTTCTATATGTTTGGTTCGAGCATGTAGAACAATATTATTTGCAAGTGCGATTGCAGAAGTGTTGTCACAATGAAGTACGGTTGTCTGAGGTTGCGGTATGAGCAGTTCGGCGGCAAGTCGTCGAATCCAGAGGACTTCCGAGATCGCTGAGGAGAGAGAGCGGTACTCGACTTCTGTGGATGAGCGGGCTGCCGTCGTTTGTTTCTTGACAGACCAAGAAATAAGATTAGGACCGAGGAAAGTGCAATACCCGGACATAGACTTCCGTTCGATTGGATCAGCCGCCCAATCTGCGTCGGAGTATCTTCGAAGGCAAAGGGATCCTCTGGTTATCGGCAACCCGAAATTAGCTGTACCCTTTATATAGCGGAGTAGACGTTTAAGAGCGAGGTAGTCGCAATTTCTTGGTGGGTGCATGAACTGGCATATTGAGTTGACGGCGAATGCGATATCCGGTCTAGTGATAGACAAATATTGGAGTGATCCAGCTAACTTCCGGAATAGCTGGGGATCCGAGAAGAGCGTCTCGTCTTGAAGCTTGGACGGCTTGGTGAGCGCCGGTGTGGTGGATGGTTTGCAGTCGGAGAAACCTGAGTGAGAAAGAAGTTCATTTGCGTAGTGTGTTTGATTTAGAAAATATCCATAAGTGGTTTGAGTCACCTGAATTCCAAGGAATAACGAGACGTTGCCGAGCTTCTTTAACCGGAATGCGGACTGAAGATGTTGTAGAGTGAGCTGAATTTGAGATTTGTTATTGCCGGTTATGAGAATGTCGTCGACATATATGAGGACGAAGACCTGGTCTTCCGCTTTGGCGTACAGGAGGAGAGAGGGATCAGCTTTGCTGAAGATGAAACTAATTTGTTGTAATGATTGTGTCAATTTATGAAACCAGAGACGAGGTGATAGTTTCAACCCGTAAATTGACTTGTGCAACTTGCAGACGTATTGTGAATATTAGGCATCCTCGAAACCGCTAGGTTGTTTCATGTAGACCTCGTCGTGTAAATCGCCGTGGATAAAAGGCGTTGGAGATGTCCAGCTGAGTGACCGGCCAATTGTGGTGCAGGGCAATCGTGAGAAGCATTCGAATGGTGACCATTGTCGCCACCGGACTGAATGTTTCAGTAAATTTTATCCCGAATTCTTGCGAGCAACCCAGAGCTACTAGACGTGCCTTGTAACTTGCAATTTTACCGTTGGGAAGATACTTTGTTTTGAACATCCACTTGCTGCCTAACACCGGTTTGTTGAGAGGTGCCGGTACAAGTGACCATGTACCCAGTTTTTGTAGAGCAGAGTATTCGGTGGACATGGCCGAGCGTTAGTGGGCATGCTTTGCCGCTTTAGTGTAGGAAGTAGGCGTGGGCAAAGAGGCCTAAACAACTGAGAGATCAAATATCTGTTTTGGTTTTGAAATGCCGGACCGAAGCCTTGTTTGCATAGGATGGCGAGGAGGGGAGACGATGGGCCTGTTGCTGATTACATATGGTAGCTGTGAGTCAAATGAATGCCGGGTGAATTCGGAAGTAGTCTGATCATTTGCGGAAGTAGAGTGTAGCTGGGCAGAGTCCGTAACGGCAGGCTTCCATGTGGTAGCTGAAGTCGGCGAAGGTTGAGAGACGGTTGAGCTGGGAATAAGCAACAGAGGGGAACAAGAGCTTTTGGAGTTATCAGGCGGCAAGTTTGGTAAGGGACGTTCGTAAGGGAAAATTGTCTCATAAAATACGACGTGTCGGGATATGTAGATACGGTTTTGGGACTCATTTAGGCGCCTGTATCCCTTGTGCTGCGTGGAGTAACCAAAAAATATGCACGGTTGTGAGCGAGGTGCTAATTTGTGTTCGGCGTAAGGGCGAGTCCATGGGAAACATAAGCACCCGAAGGTGCGAAGATGCTTGTAGGAGGCGTTCCGACCGTTGAGGCGAAGATACGGAGTGTGATTTGAGATGGCAGAGGATGGTAAGCGATTTATGAGGTAATTGGCCGTAGAGACAGCTTCCGCCCAGAACTTCGAGGGAAGATGAGCTGCATGAAGTAGCGTACAGGTGAGTTCAATAAGGTGCCGATGCTTCCGTTCGGCTATTCCATTTTGTTCTGGTGTATGTGGGCAACACATTTGATGAGTAGTGCCCTGTTGAATTAGAAACTGATGGAATTCATTACTCGTATATTCTCCTCCTCTGTCCGACCAGAAATGTTGGATCTGTGTTTGGAAGATATTTTTAACCATATTGCATAAGTTTTGATATTTAGAGAGAACTTCAGCTTTAGAATGCAACTAGTAAATCCACGAAAAATGTGTAAAATCATCTATGAATATGACATAATAGAGAAACCCATTCATGGAGGGTACCGGAGCCGGACCCCAGACGTCCGAATGGACAAGCTGAAATGGCTTTGTACAAACGGACGTGCTAGAAGAAAAGGGTTGTTTGTGACTCTTAGAAAGATTACAAGAAATGCAGAAAGAAGAAGCAGAACTAGTTTTGATATCAGAATCTAGACTAGCTAATTTTTGCATTATTCGACGGTTGGGATGTCCAAGCCGTGCGTGCCACGAGAAGCTGAATGGTTTGTCCGCTGCTAGAGCTGTGTGCTTAGACGGGATAGGAGCTTTGAGACAATACATACCATTGCGTTTGAGACCGCGGAGAAGAGGACGATTGTCCTGTAGATCCTTTACAACAAATTCATTAGCATTAAAAGAGACTGAGGCATTGTTGTTCGTGGTCAATATGGCAACAAATAACAGGTTATGAGATAAAGAAGGAACGTGCAGAATATTAGGAAGATAAAGCTTAAGATGAGAATCGGGTAGTGGCAGAATTCCTTGTCCCGAATTTTGGATCGGAAGGTTACTTCCGTTCGCGATTGAGACAGAATCCATTCCATTGTATGGGAACGGGTGTTGGAGATTTTCCACATCTGAAGTTAAGTGTGACGAGGCTCCGGAATCGACGATCCATTCGTTCGGAGACAAGTTTTGTTGCTGAGTCGTGAGAGCACGTGAATTGGACGGAGGAGCATAGGTGAGATTGTACCGATGCCAGCAATTGAGTGCCGAATGACCGGATTTCCTGCAAATCTGACATTGAGGCCGAGTTCCTGGAGTTCTTGATGTGCTTGAATTTTCGGTTGCGCTCTGAGGTTTCGGAAAAGATGATTTCCCTCTGAATTTCTGGTTCTTGGACTTATATCAGTTGCCCCGGTTGGAGAACAGGGCGGTATTGTCGGATTGTTGGATTTCTTGATTGCGTTGATGATGAAGATTTATTTCTTCGCTACAGAGTAGCGAATACAAATCGTCCAGACTAATGGGCTGAAGAGACGTTCGGATTGCAGTCTTGAACGAGTTGTATGTTGCCGACAATCCATTCAGTATGTACAGAACTATATCTTCGGTATCCACTTTGGATCCGGCTGCAGCAATACTATCAACGATATTCTTGATTTGATCGAGGTATTGTTGCATTGTCCGATCCCTCATCTGAATTTGATGAAGTTCGCTCTTCAATTGTATTACCCGAGAGCGGTTCGTTGGTTGAAGCCGGCGTTCAAGAGTGAACCATATTTCTTGCGCAGTGGTGAGGGTGAGTACATATGGTAGGATTGGCGTGGAGATTGTTGATAGGATTGCATAAATCAGGTTCCTATCGATTAGTCTCCACCGATTATAGTCGGTGGTTTCAGATTCCGGTGAACAAGTGGAGAGACCGGTGAGATGTTGTTCGTACCCGGTGGCGGAGAAGTGTTGATAGAGTTGCAATCTCCAGATTGCGTAGTTTTCCGTTGTGAGTTGAGTGGGAACCAAATTCTTTATATTTGAAATCAAGAATTTGAGATGAGGAGGAATGACGAGCTCGGTTTCTTGACCGGAGATACTTTGTGATGTCCGGCGGGAAACCGCATATCCTTCTTCGGCCATGACGAGGAAGATGGAGGAAGAACGCTGTGGAGCTAGAAGCTCTGATACCAAGATAGAGTTCTTGATAGAGTGGTATTGGGAGAAAGAACGGTGAAGAACCGAGAGAGGGAAAGTGAGGAAACGAAAACCTTGTTTATTAATGTGAACAATGTCGTATATATAGAACTACAGGGAAAAGTAAATACAAGAAAGTACACATATGATCGTTACACTAGTAGGTTCCTTAACACTTATCACTTGGTCTCCATCTTATTTAGAAAATGAAACAATTGATCATTAAGATTTATATTTATTATATTGTATTAATATGTACTCTAGTTACATGACACTTATTGTATTCTTTTATTAGGATATAGTTTAGGTTAAAATATCTCACAATATTTTCCCTTTTGCGAAGATTAATAGTGCAAAGTTTGCAACAGAGGTCAGATTTAACAGGCAATTATGTACGAGCCTGCAATCAAATGGGTCCACTTATTAGAAGATTAATATTTCTCATGCTTTTTTTAAACTTAACAATCCTAAATTTATTCAGCATGTATTTTCTTAAGTCATAATATATTGTCACAAATAAATGACTATATATATATATATATATATATATATATATATATATGAACTGTTAAAGGTATATATTTATATATCATGCATCCAAATCATTAAAAATTAACAAATCGTTCAAAATTAAATTTCTAATTTGTAATTCTATTTTCAAATTTTGTATTGTATTATGTTAAATAAAAGCTAGCACTGAAATGTTATTTTTGCATATATATTATAATTACACATTAAATTGTTTTGAAAAATATATTAAAATTGAAAATTAATTTCAAAGGGCCTATAGTTTTATTTGCAAAATAATATAAACTGTTGAAAAAGGACATTATTCAAGCTACTTGAGTCTAATTCGTATCAAAAGAAAAAATATATCATTAAAATTTTCATCATAATAAAAATGCATATGATATTTCAAATTTAAATTTAATAATATTTTTTTTGTTACATGTACAAATTTTTCATGGTAAGTCGCCAATTAAGGATCAGGTCGGAGATATTCACGGTAAGTCGTCAACTAAGAATCATAACTAGACAATTTTCTCACAAATACACAACTCGCACTATTCTAGCTATTGGTTGGGAGCTTAGGCTACGAACTAAGAGGTCTTGGATTCGAGTCTAGTGTATGCGATGTGTTTGTGAATCTGATTTAATTGACCTAAATGTCCAAAAAAAGAAAATTTCTGAAAAATTTATTGGCCATATTTGTTTGTCTATATTTTTTTTATTGACTTTCAAAAACTTTTATAGTGCAAAATTATTTTTGCACTTAAATTTATTAATGTGTTGGAGTTAAAAAATAAATCATTTTTAAGCATATATTTATTATATAGTATTTATTATACTTTTAGTAATTTTAAAATAATATTTTCTTTATAAATTGTAATTATCTTTATAAAAAAATTATAATCATGCCAAACGGAACCAAATGATTGCTTGGCATGCGTCCCATCTCAACACGAATGAAAGCGTTCACGTGCACCCCATGCATGTCTTCACGTGCGAGTCGGACCGGTACTGGGCTTCTACCGGGCCTACAAAACTGCGACCCGGTCGGAATTGACCGTACAACAACTGGTTCGTACATGCAGCCCAAAACAGCTGGACTCTTCCAACATTTGGGCCCATGTGTTGTATTTCCATAAATGTGCCTTGTAGTTGACATCTCAAGTGCTCAGTCCCTACCATGATGGCTTCCTATCAATAAAAGAAATGTAGCTTGTTTTATTGAGTTAAATTGAAGTATTAAAAATGACTAAATTTTAACAGCTGTAATAATTAACCACTTTTATTTATAATTAGATCATCTAAATTTTACATTTTCAATAATTTTGTTGTGATGTGCAAAAAATGAAATGTTAAACATGTAATTTTTGTCAAAGAAGAGAAAGGTTAGTTTTCATGCACCACATTGAGGAAAATAATCTAAAAATAGTTTAATAATGTCACTAAAATACTTTACATTAAAAAAATTAGGAATCAAGTTTTAGGTACAAATATTTATCTTAAACTCAATTAGAGCGAGGGTTACACCATCTCTTTATTTCATTTAGGGCTACAAAATAAACTGAGCGTTAATTAAATTACTCATAGTTCAGCTCGATAAGAGCTAGCTCATATTTATTTGATTAAGTAATTGCACAAGCTTAATTATTTTTTTAAATACTCAATTGTTAATTAAGCAAACTAGAATATCTTGTTATTTGGATCATTTATGATCTCAAACTATATCATTTAAGGCTCATCATAGATGGATCCAGCCTTAATTTTTAGGGTGGGCAAACTTATTATATAGAAAATGAAGATGCCAAGCGGTCGAAGGCTGCGAA